TATATATATATATATATATATATACATATATATATACATGTATATATATTGTTTAATTATGTTAAATGTTTAACGTATGTATATGTTTTAAATATTTAATATAATGATATTTTTAATTTTTTTTTATGAATTATTTTAGAATAAGAAAAAAATTAAAATGAATCAAAAATATTATTATATACAGTTTATATATTTTTTTAAACTGTATTTATTGTCATAAAATTAATTTGACGCAATACGATTGAAACATTAAAATAATTATTTTTCATTAAAATATTATTAATTTTTTAAATAATTAATTTAATTTATTGTAGATATATTTTTCTGTTTAAAACATCTATATTTACAAATTGATGTTTAATTATTAGTTATCACATTTTTTTCATAAATTTCTTTTATTTTTGAATTAAGCTGCATATCTTGTACTAGATTAATAATATAATACACTATATCATAGTTTTCTCTTTCATTCGAATTTTCTTTCTTTAATTAATTTTTCTCTAATTAAGAGGTTTTATACAAGATTTTATATACTTATACACATACAATATTCAAAATTTGATTTCTTCATTATATTTTATTCTACAGATTTTTAGAAATTTAATTACTTATTTATTTAGAATATACATACCTATAAAAAATTAGAAAAAATTCTAAATAAAATGATAATAAAAGAATTAGTGAAAATATTATGTAAAATTTTAATAAGATTAGAGATAAGATTAAGACATTATAATTTTTTATTTTATAAATTATTTATTGCATTTTGACATATTTGTTTGTCATGTATTTATTTTATTTAAATGAAAGTATGAGTATTGTAAGAAAAAAAAATACTTTATCTTCATTATATTAAATGAATCCTTTAATTGTTATATTTTTTGAATTACAATAATTGTTATTATAAAAGTATTAAGTTTAAAAAAAATTTATTAATTGAAATTAGTTCTAAAGATATTTAATTATAAAAAACAATTTATATATTATATTAATTTTAAAATAATGATTTAGTTTATTAAATAAATATTTCTATTTGAAATAAATTATTGTATCTTTTAATTAAATGAATATTTTTTCAGTGAAAGATGATATTCAGAAGTGCTATGTATACCTAGTATTCGTAGAAGTGAATTGGGTGATAAATCTTCGTGCTGAATCAAATAAAAGCAAAGGTGTTCTCATGCATAAATTCCGCACGCGCGGCGTGATGTACATATATCGATGAGATAGCGTAGAATCATAAATATTGTGCATTTTTAGGTAAGTAGCATTTAAAATTTTTTTGAATTCTTTCATTCAACAATTGTTTATATTATTTGAATTAAATGACAATGTTATTACAAAAAGTTTCATTAGCATTGATGAAGTTACATGAATAATGTAATAAATCAATTGATATAATATTGGTAGTTTAAAAATATTATTAATTTATATTAGTAAATAATACAATAATTTTAAAAATTGAATAATTAAAATTATTTTTTCTATCATTTTTTAATAATTCTTAAAAAAGAGAAAAATATTTATATAAAATTAATAAATCTTATGAATCATAATATTATGCTGATTATGAAACAATGAATTTCTCTAACTGATCCCCTATTGAATTGCAGTCGGTGATCAAGATTTCAAAGTGCAATACTTCGTTCTCATGGTTAACCAGGCATGTCATTTTTTCACTTTAACCAGAGACAAGAACCTGGTTCTTCGACATTTCTCTACTTCCTGGGTCTTAGATAGATATCTTATTGTAATATAAAAAATGCGTATTGATAGAGAAATAAAAATATGAAAATTCGGAAAGGTATGTACAAAGTCTGTTGTATAAAAGGAAACTTACTTGTGAAACCGTTCGGACGTCATTCTGTTCCTTGATCCTTTAGAAATTTTTGTTACCGATGGCAAAACATCATTACTGAAAACAAAATTTTTTGGCACTTTTTTAATAAAAATCACTTTTAATAATAATGAATCCAAGATTCACAGATTCTACATATTTTTTTTTTATTTTTTTTTATTTTTTTTAGACAGTAAAAAAATCACAAGCGCTGAGTATGGCGTCCAGCAGTGTACTGCTCAAACGAACGAAGGTATTACTTCGACGATGTTCTGTGGCCCCTCACCAACTCTATCTTGCTTTCAACCATTAATTTGATAAGTTCTCTCTCGCTCTTTCTTCAGTTCCCGCCGTCGCTCACCTGTACCGATACCCCCATGCGAATACTAACCGCCACCTAGTGTTCAATATTCTATTGTAGAAATATACAGCCTCTACTCTACCGACATATTTTCATATTGTTTTATAAAAATTAATCTATTGTAGTATTGTATTAATAATTGGATAATAATTATGCAACTATATAATTTTTTAATTATGTAAAAATTTAAGAATTCTTTTGTAGATTAATTAATTGCTTAAAAAACTATAAAAATTCAAATTAATTTGAATTCTAATTAAATTTTTATTTATTGAATTCTTTATTATGATAATTGATTATATTTTATATTTGCACATTTTATTTTTTTTTGGTCTTTATTTGTTTATAGAATGTAATTATAACTTAGAAATTTTGTTAATATAGATTGAAAATGTTAATATATATTAATACTAATTTAATTCATTTATATATTACAGGCTGGAAAAATATGAAAAAATCAATCATATTAACGATTGCTGGATTAGTTGAATTCTTTTTACCAGAGATGAACTAAGATGAAAGCATAGAGAGAGGACGCCGCAATCGGTGAGTACTTTTTATCAACTGAAAGTATACAATGAGACAAATATTTCGCGCCCAAATTTTTATTTTTACTTTTTGTATGAAAAAAACATATTCATATACGAATAATATTTGAAAGTTGTTTTATTGAGACTTTACAACAATCAGCATGCAAAGATTACATTGAATCTTACAGCGATATTCATTTATTTCAACGCATTTGCTAAATATACAATTTGATTACAACAAAACCATTTATATTAAGTAAAGAACATTGTTAGTGCTGTAAAAGATACTCTTGATTACACTTGAATGATTTTATATAAATATATTAAAATATTTGACAAATTCAATTATTATAACAAAGATTTTTTTGATATGTTTTTTTATTATTTAAATATAAATTTGAAAAAAATAATGATTTTCTTTAAAAATTACGCTTTTGAAATATTGTTTGTATATTGCATATTTATTGCCTTCATTTAATTTTAATATAAAGATATTTGAAGATAATATTATATTATAGTATCGAGATTTTTTTTAGATTTATCAGAAATATTTTTTAATTAATAAAAAAAATAATTCTTAATTTTAACAAATGCATATTAAAATATATTTTAATACTAGCATATATCATTCAATTTTTAAGAAATTAATTTTTAAACGTTTTTAAATTATTTAATAATAAATATATGAAATTGTCATTGATTGTGTATTTCATGAGTATCTTTAAATCATTTATAATTTTATCGTACATAATTTTTTTTGAATTTATGTTGTATATTGTATATCTGTAAATATTGCCTCAAATACACAGCACTAACTATGATAGCAAGTAATCCATACTACTATTAGTAATTATTATTTATTTCATCACAGCTTGATTATGTTTTTTTTGTTAATTATTAATTAAATATTTTGTATATATTTACACGATATTGGCATAAATAATTAACGTAGCATTCTCATATTTAATATACATATAATTTTCAATATAATTAAGATTATATTATATAGATATATGAAATCAAATTTTAAAAAAATAATATTTATTAATATTTATCCATACTCAAGTTTAGAAAAAAAACACAAATATTTTGTTTTTGTTAAATGTATTTTAATAATTTTATTGAAAAATAATTAAAAAATTTGTTTCATAAAGAAAGATAACAATATTTGAATCTCGTGACAATGTAGAAATAAAAAATTATTAAATTTTAGCTTCCAAAAATAAGTATGTACATAATGTATTATTTATTATTTAATAAATAATTTCTCAAGTATATTATACATATGTACATAATAATTGGGCGTGAAATATTAGACCGAGTCAGAGAAGCAATCTTCCAAACACGTATTATCATTGAATTATCATTTTTATACGTATATTTTTTTGTTAAACATTGGTCCATTCAAACTCGAATAACAAATAATTTTTGTTTTCTGAATAAACGCATTTCGTCTCTTTTCGTTTTATTTCGTTTGCCAAGAAAATATTTTTGAATATTTTATCTTTTCATTATCAATTTTTAGTGCAAAATGTCGAACGAAAATAAACGAAGAAGTTTCTCTGCGCATAAAATCGCTTCTTTACTGATTTCAAATGTGTATTATTCGTACTAAAAATAAATTAAACTAGAATTAGAAAGAACGTGATTTTCACCTTACGATGATTTAATACGTTCAATCGTATTTCATCAATTCAATCATCATATTGTAGGAGAAATATAAAAATAGATTTTTTTTATTATCATTTGACTAAACTTTTTCATTTTTTTTTAAACAACGCATATA